ATGGGAGGAGACTGCCCATCTCTCTCCCACGGAGCAACTAGTGGATTCGAACCACATGCCTCTGAGTTGGCAACATGACTCCTTAACCACTAAGCCACCAAAGCTCCCAGAGTTTTAAGAGCTAAAATTAAATAGGACACATTTTAAAGCTGTTTTAAAGAAAGAGGAATTGGGATTTGGGAAGGCCTCTAAGAAGAGCTAAACTAGAAAGAGGGCTCTGGGCTTGTCTCCCTGAGCGGGGAGGACTTTGGGAGCGAAGACCATGTAGTATCATTTTAGGGAGAATTGCACAGAAGGAAATGATCGGTATTTGTATCAACACACATGGCAGGGCTGAATGTAATTCAGTTATGATTAATTAATTTGTGAAGTCATTTAAAATTCTTGGAACAGACCTACCTCCCTTCTTTGTCTCCCAGAGCAGTGAGGGTGTTTATGAAGTCCTTTCCCTTCCCGTGTTGAGGACATTCAGGCAATGGAACAGAGCATGGAGTCAGGTGGTGCGTGGAGGGCTTGGCCAGCACAGGGGTCGTAACATCGTGGACAGGACCCTCCTCAGCCAGCCTGCTGACTCACGTTCCTGCAGTCTGGAAGGCAGAGGAATAGTGGTCTTTCCCGATGTTATCCTGGCCCCTCTCGATGCTCGTCCTTCACCCGCACAAGCCCCGATCCGTCCTGACACAGAATCCTCTTCTCGAGCTGAGACATGATGACCAGGTGGGCGGGGGATTCCCCGCTTCTGTTGGAGTCTGGCTCGCATTTTCCTGATGCATTTACTGACAATCGGGTTTCTTCCCCTTCCTGCACCATATGCTGTTCTGTGACTCACCAGCGTTGAGTCTGTTGCCTTGAAGGTGAAACCGTCTCTTCGAGTGTTGATGTTTCATAATCTCAGAGACAGCAAGCACATGCATATGTGTGGTTCTTTCCGAACGTTTTAAACGTCTGGAGATGAATGAATTATGCTGCCACAGATGGAAAGGAGCAACAGAGAATGAATCCTACAAGTCCTGCCAGTCATCTATTGTCGGGAGATTGAGTGAATACTGACATTGGTAAAGTCCAGGCACTTTGCTATCCTTATTTCTCACATAAAGTCAATGACTTACCCAGGTTAACTGCCCTGATTTTAATCTTCTAGACCAACAAGATGTTTATTTTTCATTGTGGGTCTTAAATTCCGAAAAAATCTTTACATTTCCTGTTTTAGCACTGGTGACCTAGTGCTAAGAATGTGCACTGTGATCCTGAAGGCACACAGTTCAAAACCACCAGCTATTATGGGAGAGAAGGCTGGGAAGTCTCTTCTCGTGTGATTAACTGCCTCTTGAAAACCTGCTGGAGGGTCAGCTGTGGGTCGGTTCTGACTCCGTGGTATGCAACAACAGCATGACTCTTCAGGACTCAATAAATGGTCTTTTAATTTTTAGTAAATAGTAATCTTTCAATAGATTGAAAAAAGAACACATTATATCAAGAAAACGTTATATTTATGTCAAAAAAAGAGAACACATTGTGTTTAGTGAACACAACAGAAAGGTAGTTATTTCTGCAAGAATATTTTAGTAAGTATTTAGAAGATTCTCTTTGGCGTTGGGTTGGAGCTTCATAGCACAGCCTCTGCTAGGTTTCAGAGGGTAGAAGTGGCAAGAGCTGAGGTTGTAGAGGTGGTGGACACTGAGGTTGTTGTAGAGGTGGTGGA